GCCACCCACCTTGAGATATAAGTTCTAATAGTATAGTTATATATAGTATAGTTACAACGGTTGCCCCACCCTTCAAACCGAAACGTATTACTGCTTCACGGCTGAAATAGGCTTACCCGTGCGGACTCACAAGAGGTCCTACCCCCAGTAATGATGATGGTACAAATATGAATTAAGTTATGGAATTTACTAACAAGTAATACTAGTAATATATGGTATAGTATAGTATAATAAATTATAATATTAGGTTCAAGACAAAAGATTTGCGTGAACGTAGGCGGTGAACAAGTGTGCCACCTGACTGAGGTCGACTGAAACCTTGAATCTCACTCACTGTACGTTTTACAAGTTGGCTATACTATCTATGCATGTTTTTAACACATTCTTTAAAGATCCGACGTTAGTTCGAATGTGTTTGAATTGTTTAATATTCATATTGGTATTATAAGGTGGTATCACAATAATAGATTTTAATTATTTTTTCCTAACTATACTGTTAGCCTTGAGAGGCTATTTCAGCTTCTCCTTGACGTGTAGGTGAGCTCACGGGGCTCAAGCCGGAGTGTTGCTAACACAGGTCCAAGGAAGAGCAGTGCTTCCCAGAATCTACCAACGGATCGGAAACGCGACTCATTGAGAAAATCCGGCGAGAAACTCTGTGAGCTGTGTCTATGGATTAATTTACTCGTCGAACCCTTCCTCGCAGGCGACGGGTTCGGTGAGGACGGTGACCAGTATATTTAAAATTAAACACTCCTGGTACAGGAATATTTTTTCAAAAGGAAGGCTTTGAAGTCACTTATAAAACACGGCATGTACATATTTCTTGTAAAAAAATTCAGATGGAAAGTGGAACTTATTATAGATAGAGGAATGTTCAATTTCTATTTCCTTTTCTTAAATGAGAAACTCTTTCTTTACCAATTTGCATTGATAATTCCAATAAATTAATGTATTTCTTATGATCGTACTTTAGTTGAAGAACGAAACAGGATCTGCTAGGTCAAGAATGCGAAATTTTCGAACGAAACTTGTGTGAAAGTACACACATAATAATACGTGTGCTGACAAAACAATTGTTTTCTCCTCGTCGCGTGAATGTTAACAAGAAAAGTGAATCTTATGCGGATCTAATACAACATATTATTAAATTAGCTGATTAAAATTTAAGTAAAATTTTTAATTTGAGAAACTACAGAAACTATATATAACTTAATAGCGTTATTTGAATTAAAACCAAAGTATCGTGAATACCGACATGTAACTTGAGACATGAGGTCAAAGTCCCAATTGTATTGTTTAAAGGCTGCCCCAACCTTCAAATAGGAACGCATGACTGCTTTGGGGCAGTGATAGGCTGAATGGTAGTAGCTATCCATGTGACCTTAAGCCACGCCGTGACACTAGTTCGATTTTTATTATACGACATATTTCCTATATCGGAGAAGTCGATCATGAACACGAATTAAATAAGTCATGTACCATACGAAATTAGTCATCTTTTACCCCTATATTTTGCACCTTACACTTTTGGCATCTATCTGTTTAACATTATTTTTTAAACAGCCGTTTTCAAACAACAATGTCAGCTTCAATGCTACGTACTATGTAATTTTAACTGTAGGCTGTTACAGTCATCGCTATAAATAATTATCTAAAGAATCAAAACTAAAAATGAGTGCATCATAAATCAAATACACATTAACGATAATTTTGTATTTTGTGCTTAAAATTATTACTCGAAAGTTCAAAAAAGCCTCTAAATAAGTACCGATGCATTATTTTTGACCATCACTTGATTGCAAATGCGTTTAGTAAACACTTCAAGGTGACACCGCAGCGTAATACTGGTGTGTTTCGGTCGCCCGTTGCTGGAACCATCATCCAGAAAAGGGATATCAGTTTTACATCGAAGGAGGTTAAAAGAGTTATTAACAGCATGCATAGAGGTAAATCCCCTGGATATGATGGTCTCAGCATCGAGCATCTTAGGCATGCTGGAGTCCACCTGCCACGCGTCCTATCCTTGTTTTATAATCTCTGCCTTTGCCANCATAATGATAGCTAATATTGACATAGAGTGGTTACTACTGTATTGATATAATTATGTGTTTCTAATTCATTTCCTTTGTATATTTAATTAATTGAATTAGTATATTGTTCATTTTCTATTTGTATTGTTGAACTGTTTGTGTGCTGACTATTGTATTATTATTATTTTATGGATTTTTTCTGAAATAAATGTTTTATTATTATTATTAGCATGTGCCTTTTAAAAAGAACATTTTAATGTTGTGTGAAATCTTGTTGCATGTTTTGCCTCAACTATAATATTACAAATTATTCCAAACAATTTGCATGTCCGACTCGTTAAGATACTTTAAATTAATTAACGAAGGTTATCTTGATGTATGACAATACGACGTTACTAAGAGGATTATGTACCGGTGTATGGTTAAGTGTTGAACTTCAACAATCTTTGAGACTGTTTGCACAATGATAAGCGTACTGTTCTAGTACTTCAGAGTTTACAGAGGCTCACTGTAATCTTTCGGTTTTTAAGTAGATTTTTTTTAGTTCAAAAATGATCTCACTGTTAGTCAATTTAAATTCTGTTAACCCATTTGAAAAACTTTTTTTTTTTCTATAGCTCATGATAAAAGCTTATTATTAAACACACACACACACACAATTCATAGAAAGTAATCAAGGTCCAATCAAGGTTTCTAACATATATGTACAAATAGTCATATCTATGCCAAGGTGCAGTCGTGAACTTGTCGCGTGTGAATTGCGATAACTTAATCAAGCTTTAGAAAGTTTCTTAACATTGGCCTCATCTTCATCCTATATGTTTAATGGAGCTATATCTTATACTTATTTTGGCGGCTATTGCACATTGGAAAACGCCGCTGAAGTCGTAAGAGCTAAATGAGTTTGATCATATAATTGAATTGATTCGCACTGTTATAACCATGCCATGTACCCCTTTCTGCATACTTGATTACCTAACCCGTCCACTCAGCACATTCCTATCCCAACGTCTCATCGGCCCACCTATCAAATTTTAAATAGAATACTCCCGTATTGTTTGCCCGCATAATTAAGTACCAGGTTGGAGATGTGCTTATCTGGACATTTGCTACACTAAAAACTCATTACAACTAACCGCTCATTAAGTATGAAAGAAACTTGCGTCCAGATAAACAAAGTAAGGATCCGAAAGCCATCGACTCGGCAAACCTAACCCGATGTAACTTTTGCTTCAATCCATCTAGGAATAGAGTTAAAAATCGTGTAACTGAAGTGAAAGCGTTTGTCAACTGAAGCCTGCTTTCTAGAATGTTTACATTTCACACGTTTTCGAGTGTAATCGTGTGTAACATGCAACTATGTACTTTAATTTACTCAAATGAATTGTTATATAAGAAAATAATGTATGGTAAAAATATAGAAACCATCCAAAGCTAGCATCTATATTTGGTAATTATCATCAGCTTAATTTATACTTCTAAATGTGTAGACATTGATGCAACGTGCAATCAGGTGTTAGGGAATAAATTACATTCTCTATTTGAAGTTAGGAATTTTGGCCATATTTTTTTCGGTAGATTTTTAATTTCTTAATTATAATAAAAAAAAATCGGTTAATCATTAAATAAGAGATTACATAGATACAGCTAGCTATATTCAGATATATTATAACCAGTATTAAACTACACCATATACGGAGCCAGCAAGATCACAGTTTGAAAGCCATGGCGACACTTGAAACACCAGACAAAAATCCCAATGAAATAACAGCAATTCTGTCTATACCATTTCTAGATACTAACAAAACAAAAACCATTAAGTTCAATCAACCTTCAACGAAGGCAGTGCAGCATTCTAAAACTCATTACGGTCAATAGCTTTGTAATTATTGGTATTTTATTACCAAACAAATTGTTATTACCGTTTCATATGAGATCAACCAAAACTAGGCCTTAAATAATGGAACAAAGAACTTAGTTAGAACAAATTTACTAATGCAAGACTGATTTTTTTAGCATTGAAAAATCAGTGATTCATTCTGTGAACGACCGAGATTTTAAATTTAGAAGAGAAGTATTATATATTCGTCAAAATGTCGTTTTCTATTTTTATATTTTTTTTATTGTTTTTTATTTATTTAAAGAATAATTAAGTCAATATTGATGTAAAATTTTACAAAATTAGTTTAAATTTTATTTTTTAATTTGCAAAATTGATTTTATTGACATGATTTTTAGTTATTTTGGATTATTATTGTTATCATTCAAATATATTTTATTGGTTTTGTTTTTAATTTGACATATTTAAATGGAATTGTTATAGCTTTATTACTATTATCATTTTCTAATTTTACTTTTCTACAATAGTTATTAACTTAGTTAGCTACATGTTAAAGATTTTATAATATGTTTAAAATAATATGTCTCACTCACAACCGCTACCGCCAAATCCGAATACTTTTCCTGCTGGTCTTACTCAATGTGANTTGAAGGAGGTTACACATGATGCTAAGGCTGGCTGGTACTTTGCACAGAGAGTGAGTCTGGCTGTCCAACGAGGCAACGTAGCCAGTATCTTGGGGACTGTGCCTCCTTCAAGCGCGTTGGAAGATCTGTTCTACTGTGTGGGTTGAGTTATGTTAAGTTATTTTGATTTGACTTTTTGTTAATAAAAAATAAATTTATAAAAAAAAAAAACTTATAATAATAACACACTAAATGAATGTAATAGCATAACATTTTTAGGAAAAGAAGAGAAGTCGAAACTTATATAATCTTTTAGCATGGTCAGCTTTAAGAATGGATCTTATTTTTATTATGGAATTTACATTCGAATGCTAATGTCATGTTAATGTAAAAATGTCATGCTAATGTTAAATTGTGAATGCTAATCCTGTAAGAGAAATCGGTTAATTTTAGCAGTAATACCGATATAGAATGAAACAAAGAATCATTAAATAAACTTACGGAATAATTCCAAGTCAGAATTCGCAACCAAAGCAGGGCCTGAAACAAAAAAAAATTACAACTTTAATTTGGAGTATTTCTTTTTCTGAAATAAAATTCTTAATATAAAATATTATAATTGACGATCTATATATGAATAGGGTTTCTTAAGATTATCGAACGCGATTAAGCTTTTTACCGGATATTCTATTTATTTGACTATAGTTATAGTTAAATCAGTTCTCTCTAGCACTGGGTGACTTAGCGGCTTTCGAGATTAGATGTGTTTGCAACTTCAGCTAACAGTATTTTAAGTTTAATATTACTTGAAACTGAGCTCGGGCGACGGAAGAAAACTGAGGTTTGACATATCAGTTAACAAATCAAGAAGAGGAAAGAAGCCGTGTTCTTGTTATCGTCTCTTATGTATGTTTCAAGCATCCATAACACAGGAAAAGAACCTTAGCCGGGCCCGTTCTATATGGTTTTACTGTCACTAAGGCTGGAATCAAAAATCTATCCTGGTTGGATTACGGTAGTACCTTGAAACAAATGCATTTACGTATATTTTGCCTTACTTTTCTTGTTGTAATTTGTCCATAAGCAATATGTCACATCCATCACGATATTATTTATGATTACAATTTGGAATTATTAATGATTTCATATTGAAAGATAAAATTTTTAGCAAAAAAAAATTCTATTATAGATTTGTAGGCGACCATTTTTAGAACAACATTTCATTAAATCATCGATCTAAGAATTATAGTCTTTCAATCGAAATAACGAAAACTGTCTTATACTCCTGATTTTGAATCATTCATTATTGCAATACACAAACTACTCGTAATCTACAATTGTCAATTTCAAAATGTACGCATGCAAACTTAGGACAGGTGAAAGGTGTAAGACGCCTTTTACACGTATGCCCCGACTCAATGTTTACGGAAATTTTAAATTAACGATTTTTAAGTAGGTATGTAAGTATTGGAGGTAATTAGGGTTAGCCGCTGCGTGTATTTAATAATACAAGTTATAAAAAAAAACAATTACAATTCAAACAGCGACATATTGATTCCGTAAAGTTTACCATTATATTTTTTTTTTGTACAATATAAATATCAACCGTTTTTGTACGATACCATATGTTAGCAATCGCTCTCTCTTTACATAGTCTAATAATAATATATGTATACATTTGCAATAAATATTTACGTATCTTTATGTACGTACATGCATACATACATTTTTGAAGTCGTCGTGGCCTAACGGATAAGACGTCCGGTGCACTCGTGTTGAGCGATGCACCGATGTTCGAATCTCAAGCGAGTACCAATTTTTCTAATGAAATACGTACTCAACAAATGTTCACGATTGACTTCCACGGTGTAGGAATAACATCGTGTAATAAAAATCAAACCCGCAAAATTGTAATTTGCGTAATTACTGGTGGTAGGACCTCTTGTGAGTCCGCGCGGGTGGGTACCACCGCCCTGCCTAATTCTGCCGTGAAGCAGTAATGCGTTTCGGTTTGAAGGGTGGGGCAGCCGTTGTCACTATACTGAGACCTTAGAACTTATATCTCAAGGTGGGTGGCGCATTTACGTTGTGGATGTCTATGGGCTCCAGTAAACACTTAACACCAGGAGGGCTGTGAGCTCGTCCACCCATCTAAGCGATAAAAAAAATACTATGTATATCACTTCGACAAATCGACAAATTTAAAATTTTAGTAACGATGATATTCTACATTTATTACAAGAATAATCATAGAAAGTAAAGTATGGCATTAAACTGTACATAATTATCTTGAATAATCGCTTAAAGATGTCGAAGGTGAGACCTCGGAGCTGTTAATGATGAGTTTTGTAGACCTAATGATGGCTTCGGGGCTTTCGTCGGTTTGACGAACCAAAATGAAATACTGTATTAATAAAACTAGAGAGTAAATTTAACGATCAACTACATGAAATTATTTCATCAGCCAAAATAAATTCGTGTTAATTGTGAATTTAAAATTATTAAAACTTATAACACTTGTTACACTTTAAGATTTATCGCCTAAAATTCTATTAGATTATCACTTTCAATGTTCGGTTTGATTAGGCGTCAACTGATGTCAGATTTCATACATTTAGAAATAGTAAGCCTGTAGTAACACGGACGGTTAGTCGCCAACCCAATGGAGTGATGATATCAGAATGCCAGATTTTATCAGTGGGTTGTGATTACGATCCGGTGGTACATCCTGGGAGGTACTGCTCTTGCAAGTGATAGTGTTAGCAAGCTGTCTCAGGTTGAGCTCGTGAGTTCACCTATCGGTCCCCGCGTAGCTTGAATAGTCCTTTATGCTACCAGTAAATATGTAGGGAAAAATAAAATCAGAACTATAGTGGGAGTTTCCCCTAAAGTGCAGCAAAGAGTCATGGCAAGAAGTCTTAAGAAGCGTTAATTCTGCCCACTGGCACACTACATGACAATCATAATCTTTATACCAAGTATGAACCGATTGAGGAGAAGAAGAAGAACACTGAAGAGAGTTAGAGTTTTTTTTCTTTTTTCCCTTGTAGGCAAGTGAGTATACGGCCCACCTGATGGTGAGTGGTTACCGTCGCCCATGGACTTCAGCAATGCCAGGGACAGAGCCAAGCCACTGCCTACCGCGCTGCCTACCTTTGATATGATTTGAAACTTTGACGTGAAAAAACAGAGTAACATTCAACGTCTCGATAAAAATAGAAGTAAAACTATGTGGCCATCTAGAGAAAACATATAGACCTTGAAAACATCTGAACCTGCAATCATGGGAGCAACACGGCGTGAAGATAAAAACGTGACAAGTGCAAGAAGCCCAGATCGGTCACGGTGGGCGAGCAACTGGATACGCGAAATCATCTGCAATTTTATACTTGTTTCTCAGATTTGTGGACCATGACAGGGCGATGTCTTTGTGACATAGATATTGCAATAAAACTATTAATCAAAGATTACTTTAATCTGTTGGCAACAATATTGCTCGAGCAAGGGCTCTGTTGCCAAACTACGTGACTATGAATTGATTACTTGTAAAGTTCCACTCGTTTCTAAAGAAAGTGTGTGAACGATTTTGAAACTTTTGAATTCCTTTGACCTAGTTTCTCAGTTTCGTTGTGTTTTTAAGCTATTGCATAGCTTTTATCGCGGGTTTTGAGCGCGGCGAATGAGTCAAGAAATTCCGTAACGAAAATAACCTGACACCCCCACTACGCCTACTATGTAGCTCGCGTTCAACACATTCACACGTTGCGCTGGTGTAGTGTTTGTGAATAAGCGCGCGGCGTGACGTCGCACTGCATGAGCATCATGAAAAGTCTGCCCATCTCTCTCTCACGCGGTCTAGCTTATGAGTGTAAAGGGCACAGTTAATGTTTTGATTTTGTTAATGTTTATAAATATAGCGTGGTCTTATTTTTATTATTGTTTTACAATTAAATTATTATTGTCTAATTGACACTAATTGTAATTGCATAAGTTGATAAAAAATGCTTTGCAATAGCTTTACCGCGGCAGTCCCGGAGTGCCACACGTGTTTTTTTTATTGCTTTTATGAATGGAAAAGCTCAGGGCCATCTGGTATTGTGTGATCATCCAAGCCCATAGACATTCAACATGTTCTGCACTGCTCTTGGTAGGGTCAATGTTAGCAACTCCCGGTTAGAGCCCCGTGAGCTCACGTGAAGCGTTCAGCGTGAAGCTGAAATAGCCTCGCAAGGCTATCAGCATAGGTAGGAGAAAAAAGAATGAACACCCCTTACCTCTTTATAAAATAATTCGTAACAGACATCAAATCAACATATATTTTAGTCCACGCTTTTTTGTTAATAAATTTACACATTTCACACTCTTCAATACCGGATATACAGTGAAACGGGAAACATTTGAATTCTGAGCTCGTATGCATCCGTCACACAACAATGTATGTATATATCTACCGTTTTAAGTGTCAAATGGTACATTAGATTCGTTATAACCAAAATATTTATTATGCAAGTCGATTAGTTTGATTAACTATTTGCAGAAAATGAATTATGCATAGATAAATAAATAAAACGCGCAAAGATTTTCATGAATATTATAATATTATACATATTACCATTACAGATTGTACAGTGTTAAGAAAATTCAAAATTTTATAAATTAAATTTTAGTGTATTTGACGGTAGCTTAGCGAACATATTTTATAAACAAACTAGCTTACACGGCAGACTTCGTAGTGCCTCAATCGATAAGCAAAATACCTAAACTTTTGTATAAAATAAACTTAAAACAAACAAAAGGAATCCGTCCGACGGGGGACACATCAAAGGAAAAACAAAATTATTATTTTTATTTAATTCCGAGCATTTTCATATTTATCTACTTTTTAAACCTTCTCTGGACTTCCACAAATAATTCATGACCAAAATTAGCCAAATCGGTCCAGCCGTTTTACCGAGACTAACGAACAGCAATTCATTTTTATATACATTAGATTAGATAAGATATAGATTAATAAACTCATATTATTCTTGTGGAATTTGCATAGATCAAAAGAGAAGCTTTAAAAGGATTGAAAAACAAAAAATAGGAAACCTAAATAATGTACCGACCGATTCAATGCTATCTAGATTTGAATGTGCCATTCTTTAAGAATCTTACACTATAGCTCAACCAACCTGAAACCTGTTAAGTCTTTGCATATTTATTTTGCAGCTGTGTGGGTAGGATGCAAAACAAATATAAGCGAAGTTATCTTAAAATTTATGCTCCAAGCTTCAACTATTAAACCGGTACCACGATATTCTACCGATAATTTAAAAATGCTATCTAAGTTGATATTTTTAAAGATTCATAATAAATATTTGGAATGTACATTTCACACACCAACAGTAAATCGGCTTCTAATATTCCTGCCTATGATATAAGTTAAGAGCAACATATTTAGATGTGGGTCTATAAAACCTTTATCTACAACTCGCAATAACTGTTTAAAACGCTTCGTAAATGATCTTATATTTCGTCCTTACGGATCCATCAGATCT